GCCACTAGTGAGAGGGCGTTTTGGAGAAGAGAGTCTCATCTATCAACAATTGTGGTGTTCCCTAGTAGTTCATTTAGTTTTTTTAGTCTAATTTTTTAGTTTTAGGACATGAATGTCGGTTTGGATTGCTTAGATGATATCGGTTTATATGAAGCATGTTACGTACATTATGTTGTGTACTTGGTACAAAGTTTTTATTCTATTTATTTTTTCATATACATTGCGCGGCAAGTTTTAAAATTTCATCAATGAGAAAGGTTTTTGCGCGACAAGGTGTATTTGGACGCTCAAAATTTTATCGTGCAAGAGTTTATTTTTTACTACTGATCATTTCACCATCAAGAGTGCAAACACGTAAAAAGTTGTCCTTTGAGAACGAACAAAGAAGCATGCTTTGTTTTTTTTTTTTTTTTTTTCTTTCTAAACTAGAATATGTATGTTCCTGGGAAAGGCATCAATCATGAAGAAAGAAGGTACAAATGATTAAGATAAGTGTTTTACTTTGCGTTTATCTAGAACCTTTGCAGCATTAAAGCTAAAAGTTTAACCCCAGAAGAAATTAAAAAGGTCAAATTAAGAAAGTGGTCTCTTATTAGTTTAAGCATATACATAAACTTAATTCAGCTAGTTAATTACTTAATTAACGCGACGACAATTCGTTCGGACTTGTCCCTCGAACCCAGTAAGAGGACTAATGTTCCCCATCTTAACCATGGACTTAGCAAACTGCTGAAAGAATAAGCTCTCATTAGCTGCATAGGTTTTCACCAGCTCAGCTGCCTGCCTTCTGTTCCCAGTAAGAAGTACTTGGTCTGAAGGGAGAAGTCCATGTCCCCCAAGTATAAGCTTGAAGTAGCTGTTGTCGAACCTTGTAGGGGAAACAAAGTCCAAGGGAGCAGGTGTGTTGTCGCCACCTCTTCTTGGGCAAACTGATTTCCGAGTCTGCCTGACGAACGAACACTTAGCGAACCCAATTGTATGCCCTCCAGCATTGATATTGTTCATAACAAAAAAACCATAAATGTTCAACTTGAATTTGTACCGCATTTACGCCATTGTGGTTCGTGAAACATAGTTTTACTCTACTAATAATAGTGTGACATCCTAACAAAAACTTAAAATTTTTCACTCTTTCATATCCATCTTTCACTTTGGCTCTCGACTTTCATATCCTCTTTAGTTTTGAATATGTGTGCCTCATTGTCAAATTCATCAAATTTCTAACTTTTCCCACTGGAATAGACAAAAATCACCCTCATTTTGCTGGAAATTTTTAACCCATTTGACAACATGGGACAAATTGGCACGCTTCAAAATATTAGAAAGCTCAAAACTAACTTGAAAGTCGAGGGAAAATCAGAAGAACGTACCAAGTTTAAAGGATCCCTTGCAAATAATGTGATAACAAAGGAGAAAATTCAGTAATTATTGGGTACCTGAGAGGGCAACAAGGTCAGTTTCGTCAAGACCCTGACGTTCTAAGGCGGTTATTAGGGCTGAGAGATTGGGTAGTGGTGCTGGAATGTCTCTGTTTGAGCTTTCAAAACTTGCAGTTTTGGAGTCCCTTCTTCCTAGCGGCAACACCCAGTCAGGTCCACCGCTCTGTTCCATTGCACCACATACACCAACCAAGTTGATCACTTATTAGTAAATTAATCAAGTAATAGTTTGGGCTATGTAACATACGTTTGTTCTTCTATTTATAAACCGACATTTGAGGGTGTAATTAGTTTGCTTACTAGTACAGTGGATCCCCTAGCAGCAAGAGCAACAATGTCAGCACATGACACAGTCAGGGGACATGCTTCTTCTAGCTTGGCCTTCATCTCGTCGATTACTTCAAATCCTCTCAGAGAATTCACGTTTGGTTTTGCCCCCTTTTCGCTTATTATAGTCGTGCTGTTGTCTAGTAGCACCGAGGCGTCACAGCCCTGTCATCCAATCATATCATATATTTAGCCTTAGCCATGCATATTTTATTATACATTTCAAAGTAAGTTTTGATCAAAACGAACCTGAGCAAAGCAATCATGGAAGTGAAGCCTTATCAGAAAGGCTGCCACCCGGGGATTCTTCTCGATGGCCCGCTGTAATACGGAGATGACAATGTCGTTAACCTGAGGGCACGACGATTGATAGAATTGTGGGAAAAATCGTCAGTCTGAGACGCACCCGACCCAAAGTTGAAACCATCCAGGTGAGGGGCGGAGAGCGTGGCTGATACCACCAGTGTCACAACTACAAGACCTAACAATGTTCCTCTGAAGACTGCCATTGATAATTCAAGTCCAAGGCTTTGAGTGTATGGTTTACTCTCAGTGCATGGTGACTAGTGGAACCACTCCCACCTACTGCTGTGGAAAAAGAGCTGTTCACATTGTCTGTCTCTGGAGTCACCTGCTCCAGGGAAGAATATTTCTCTGACATTTTATTTTTCTCCACTTTTGGCAATAGAGTGTGCATCACTTTAATCAATCAATATGTAATATTGCCTTAGTGAGGGTAAAATCCCATTTTAGGCATAGGTACGAAGTTTCCTCACCGTTTCTTACGCTGGGCAAAATCCCAACGCGTTTTGAATATTGAGTTTAGGGTATAGATGAGGGTGACCTATGAAAATGCCATTAGCAGCTAATCGGACTAAAACTGGAAATAGTTTCGCAGAAGATGAGCAAGATGACTAGATGACAGCACAACTTCTTGAAATGGCATATAAGATTGATACGAATATTGGTTTCATATTTGTGATTTCTGCAGGTAAGTGCGATTGATTCAATCACCATGATTAAGGTTCGACTGCTATATACAGAAAACCTACGTTTGGGCAGTATCTTCTGCCAGCTGCGATTGCGAGGACATTGAACAACCCACACGGTAACTCGTGTGAACACGAGCACTTAAAAGTGAACGGCTCCGTTTTAAGATGCTAGCAAGAAAAATAATGATCCAGAACAATTGGCCAAATGGATTGAAAACGAAATCGACCAGTTGGAAGGCAAAAGGATGCAGTAGGAATATGTAAATTTGGTGTTCGTGCTCCAATTTAGGCCCATGATACTTTTTTGCAAAGAGAACAACATCACGGTTCAAACTCACTATTTTGCTATGACATACCATGAATTTTGGCTATTCGAGGACATTTTAGCCCCCCAAATGTAGATTTAAATGTGTAGTACGATGTGTTATACGTGTAAAGTATATTGGAGTTTTAAAAATGTGCAAATTTAGGAGTCACATGCATCTATGTGTGAGAGCAAGAGGGTTACCCGAGGTTAGAGATCAGAGAAAAAAAAAAACTCCAAAATCTAAAAACAATACAGCTCCAATTATTTCCTCATATTATAGCATCTCTTTTGTATGACATAGTTAACAATGGAGCCTGATAAACATAATTCACAGTGGAGCCTGATAAACTGCATCATGTTTATATACTATATATATATATATATATATAGTTACTCCACATGAACAGTAAGTTTCATTCCATCTTCACAGTAGGGAGACGGATAAGGTGCGAAGTAGATTGTGCCCTTCTCCAATACCGCATGATCGTTTCCTGACGTGTATAGTTTTATCACGCCGGCATATAACTCACACTTGTCGAACAAATATTTGTCCCGTACAGCAGCTACCATGAGAAGGGGATCTTTATATTCGAAAACTGTTTTCAAAATACAATATTGAATTAGTAAACAAACCAGCTGCTAATCAAATATAAAAATATTTGAGGAATCGGATGCATGAACACGAATTGAAAAGAAAACCAAAGTGTTAGTCAGTCATTTTAATTACCCAAAACATCTCCAGCCTTGAACTTCTTGTCCTCAGTCCACTGGGTTAAGTTAGCATCAGGGCTCCATCTTTTCTCATCCCCCACTATATATTCTTTTCCATCAACTTCTTCGCATCGGAGCAGCAAACAACCGACAAAAAGGCCGATTCCAATCACCAAAATTTTGTTCATTCCAACTGCCATCTTTGATCGATCCACAGACAAACTATATATATAACCTTGACCTTTCTCTATCAACTCCAAATACAAAACAATATATATATACAATATTGAGCCTATTACGCATTCAATTCGTACGTTTTGATTTACTTCTCCAAATGCCATATGATCGATATATATTTCCATAACTAATTATCACATTTATTGAATAATTATTGAAAATATATATTCCTTATTCTTCTATGCTTGTGTATTTCAACTCATAATCGGGTCAATTTCTGATGATGATTTTGTATCATTTTAGAGGTATATCATTAAATGGGTGGATAATCCATCGAAAATTTTGTAATGATTTTATACCATTTTGAGTCAAATACTTAACTGTTGCCAATGTGGGAATTGGTTTCCCGTGAGACACCATGTGGTGCCACTAGTGAGAGGGCATTTTGGAGAAGAGAGTCTCATCTATTGACAATTGTGGTGTTTCCTAGAAGTTCATTTAGTTTTTCATTTTTTAGTTCATGAATGTCGGTTTGGATTGCTTAGATGATATCGGTTTATATGAAGCATGTTAGGTACATTATGTTGTGTACTTGGCATAAAGTTTTTATTCTATTTATTTTTTCATATACATTGCGCGGCAAGTTTTAAAATTTCATCAATGAGAAAGGTTTTTGCGCGACAAGGTGTATTTGGATGCCCAAAATTTCATCGTGCAAGAGTTTATTTTTTACTACTAATCATTTCACCATCAAGAGTGCAAACACGTAAAAAGTTGTCCTTTGAGAACGAACAAAGAAGCATACTTGTTTTTTTTTTTTTTTTTTTTTTTCTAAACAAGAATATGTATGTTCCTGGGAAAGGCATCAACCATGAAGAAAGAAGGTACAACTGATTAAGATAAGTGTTTTACTTTGCGTTTATCTGGAACCTTTGCAGCATTAAAGCTAAAAGTTTAACCCCAGAAGAAATTAAAAAGGTCAAATTAAGAAAGTGGTCTCTTAATAGTTTAAGCATATACATAAACTTAATTTAGCTAGTTAATTACTTAATTAACGCGACGACAATTCTTTCGGACTTGTCCCTCGAACCCAGTAAGAGGACTAATGTTCCCCATCTTAACCATGGACTTAGCAAACTGCTGAAAGAATAAGCTCTCATTAGCTGCATAGGTTTTCACCGGCTCAGCTGCCTGCCTTCTGTTCCCAGTAAGAAGTACTTGGTCTGAAGGGAGAAGTCCATGTCCCCCAAGTATAAGCTTGAAGTAGCTGTTGTCGAACCTTGTAGGGGAAACAAAGTCCAAGGGAGCAGGTGTGTTGTCGCCACCTCTTCTTGGGCAAACTGATTTCCGAGTCTGCCTGACGAACGAACACTTAGCGAACCCAATTGTATGCCCTCCTGCATTGATATTGTTCATAACAAAAAAAACCATAAATGTTCAACTTGAATTTGTACTGCGTTGATATTCCCCAAGTTTATTACATCTGTGCGTGCGCATACTACTATTTTTTTATTACCTGGTTTGTTTACTAATTCAATATATTTTGAAAACAGTTTTCAAATATAGAGGTCTGTTAGGTACTCTACTTGAATCTAACTTTTTAAACTCAAAAACAATTTTTAGGTTTTACGCCTGAAAAACTTGTTTGGTAGGATTATTTTCAAAAACTGAACTCAAGACTAACTCAAAAATATACTCTATTATCTAAAAACATAAAAAGTAAGTTTTTAGAGTTTTTAAACTTAAACTCACTCATTTCTTTTTTTTCTCTCTCTCTCTTCTTCTTTCTCTCTCCTTTTTTTTTACACCTTTTTAATCTCTCCTCCAATCCGCTCTCTTCATTCTCTCGATTCTTTCTCTCACTCATCTTCTCTCTATCTCGTCTAATCCTCTCTTTTCTTTCTCTTTCCTTCAATCATCTCTTACTTTCTTTCCTCCTCTCTCATCTGTCTCCCTCTCCTACGACCCCCTCTTTTTAGATCTATTTGTCTAGTTTAAGTCATAAGATTTAAAAAATTTAAATCGCAAACCAATCAAGTTTTTGAGTCTTAAAGAAAATTGTTTTCAAGAGATGTTTTTAAGAAATGTTTTGAGAAATGATAAAAAATTTCAAATAGGATACCAAACAGGCCCTAAAAATCCGGATCGCATTGTGGCTACGGCAGTGGACAATTATTTGGTCGAGAATCGGTACTTTGGTACCGATTGTTCGCAAATATAGTCGCTATTAATTTAGCGACTAAATGCATATGAGTCGCTAACAGCATACCGATCCATACTTTCAAATTTTTTTTTTTTTCCTTTTACGCTTGTTAATTTTTCTTTTATTTCTCTTACCATAAAAACAAACCATCATCTTCATATTCTTCCAAAATATTTTTTTCGTGCAAAATCTATTATAATTCATATTTAAGCACTTGTAATCAATGATTTAAAATCTAAATTGAAAGATATTTGAATTTAATAGTGATTGCTCAAATAAAGTAAATAAATTGGAATAGGGAAAGTTCGGTACCACATTACCGATCCTCATCCAGTCGTACTTAAATCATCATTCAATCTATATATTTTCACTTTCGTCTCAACGTGGAGTTTTGAAAATTAATAAACCTATACACTTCAGGAAACGATCATGATGTATTGAAGAAGGGCACAATCTACTTTACACCTTATTAGAGCTCGTTTGGATGTACTTTTGAAATGACTGAAAGGTCTTTTGGTGAAAATATTTTTAGAACCAATCATTAATAAAGATGCAAGTAAATCCTGAAAAAGCATTTAAAGTGCTTCCTAGAAGAAGCACATAACTAGTGCTTCTTGCAAAAAGCACTTTAAGTGCTTTTGGAACTTAAAAATATTTTTTTTAAAAGTGGTTTCAGTCATATTAAAAGCACATCCAAACGAGCCATCATTCTCCTTATTGTGAAAATGGAATGAAACTTATAGTTCATGTAGAGTAACTATATATATAGTTACAAACATGATGCAGTTTAATTATCAGGCATGCTCCATTGTTAATTATGTCATACAAGAGAGATGCTTTAATATGAAGAAACAATTGGAGCTGTATTGTTTTTTGCCCTTGTTCATGATTTTTTTTTTTTCAGGGTAACAACAATAGTTTCTTACATTATCTTAAATAATAAAAGTATAAAGATAATTAACTCTTACTTTAGTGTGTATAATCTCACTAAAATTAACTCTTACTTTAGTGTCTATAATCTCACTAAAGTAGCTTTTTATTTTTCTCTTCTCTCCAACCTTGGGTAACCCCCTTGCTCTCACACATAAATGCATGATAATTCATTAAATTGCACTGTTTTTAATATACCTATACGTATAATACACATATGTACTATACAAAGTTAATACATGTTACTTTTGACACACCCCAACCTAGGAAGGTCGAAGCATGCTGGCCATCATCGTGAGGTGACGTAACCATAAGGGTAAGTGATGTGAAAAAGTGGATAAATTTAAAACTAATTAGAACTAATTATACTAAACAGTGAAAGAGTGCGCAATCATGGGAATAACCCACTACAATTATTCAGAGCATGATAGACAGTACGACTACCGTGGAGTAGGCAAAGTAGCTAAGTACATCTATTACACAACAGTGGATAAGTTCATACTTCTAAACCAAAGAGAATGTTAGAACTTCCCAGATTCCTCAAATGCCACAAAGAGTACAACTATCTAGGTCCTGGAGGGGCGAAAAATAAAATTGAGGGGGTTAGCAAAACAATGCTTATACGAAAACCTTTATTTTGGAATATAGTAACCCCTCGCCGTAAAACAAGTATAGTTTCCTTAAAACATACTACGTAGGTATGTAAACAACAATATAACCAGAAAATATGCCAATTCATGATATATCAATGCCACAGTAATAAAAATCATATGATAATCAAGTATAGCTGAGTGTTCATCCATCTAAACTGACACATGAGTTCGAACAGATAATCTCTGACACAAACAGGACTGGGTGTAATCAATATGCTCTAATACTACGATCACGTGAAGGCTGGTGCAGAAGCACGGTCACATACAGGTCAGATTGCCTAATGCAATATGCCCGACAGGACATGCACCTAACTTGATCCAAGGTGAGCGAACGGTGAGATGTGAACATACACGTGAAGGACTGGTCCAGGCCTTGGGGCGAGTACTAACACTGGTGCAGCAGAATGAGCATGAACAAATATGTATGAATGTCATGACAGTAATATCCAACCATATAACAGCATTTATCACATTTAATATCACAATAACGAATACTTGGCAATATAAGCATAAAAGTGAAGTAACTACGCATTTAGGAAAACTATAAATATGTATAGGTATAAAATAAAATGCCCCCTCACAAATACGTCACAAGGTCGTAGTCCCCGAGTCTAGCCTGGCCCAGTACTTCTTTGGGATATGTTTCCCCTATATGTGAAATAACTATAATAGGATTAATTAAAGCACATATACGGAAACTTAAATAAAACCCCTATAGTTTATTCAAACCTAGGGTTTAAATACATGAAATAAATCTACGCGACCTCACGAACATACACAAATTTTCATATAAATTTTTGGACCTCACACGCGCCCTCTCGCGCCGGCCAAGGCACAGCCAGACGCGCCCCCCATGTGTAGGCACGTACCATCAGTGTGATTGACGCCATTAGGAATATTCTGTTATAACCTTAACAGAGATTAACGGCGTTACCTGACACCGTTAGAATATTCCGTCAACTTTGACGAATATTCCTTATCTTCTCCGATGAGCTCCATCGTCCGCCGCAATCCTCTGCCGCCAGCACCGCAGTCTGCAACTTGAATCTCGCCGGTTTCTGGAAAAATTTCAAACTTGCATAACTTCTTCATTTCTCAACTATTTTCGACCTACTTTATATGGATTTGAAGCTTATAAAAAGTATAATCGTGTTATACCTCATTTGAGTCCAAAAGGTGGACAGAGGTGGTCAGAAATCACCTCGAAATTTGTGACCAAAAGTGAACTCCTCGAAACTCAGTTGTTTCGACGTCCAAGCTACTTCAAAATTGTCCTTGAGGTCTCGGGATGTTGTGGGAAAGCTTCCTCGACCTTCAAAACTCCTTAACTTGGCCTGAAAATTTGATGAACTCAAACTCACTGAGTTCGAACCTTCCAAGTTCGACGTCCAAAACTCAGTCAAACTAAGGTTGGTTGGTATGGTTGAGTTCGTGAAGATGAGATGAACGTAATGGTGAGGTTTTTAAGCTCGATTTATGAGCTTTGGTGCTCATTCATGGTAATTGCAGAGAAAGAGAGCTTCCGGAAGGAGAGAGAAAAGGAAGAGAGAGAGAGAGCTTTTGCTTTTGCTTTTCTGATTGGGTGCATTGAGGAGGGAATGGATGGGATTGGTGAGAGATTTGAGGGAGTTGATTGGTGAGGGATTGACATAATGGGGAGTGCACGGGTTGGCTTTAAAGAAAACCAAGGGTAGGGTTTAGATTTTGTACAGAAAAGAGAATCGAAAATCTATCCGAAATAATGTTTTCAAACTGATAAAAATTCTCGTACTCTCTCAACAATGTGTACAATTTAAAAGTGATAACGAGGAATAAAATAAAAGCAATATAAACACGTCCATACCATTTGCCTACAAGGGCATAATAGTTAATTCACATACACAGGGAGGAATTACATAGAAATCGTCACAATTTTGATACATTTTTAATAATTAATATAAAATATACGTATTTTATACATGTTTTTGACATATTTAAAAAAAGATTTAAATAAATAATTTTTAAATTTTTAAAAAGGCCCTTTTGGTCGAGACATTTTTAGCAGCATTTTGTATCTTACTATTTGTACACGTTTAATGTTAAAATGGTCAATTTTCTGATTTTATAAATATGAAGTCAATAATTGATCGCTAGCGTCACCAATATTTAATAAATATGTCAATCATTTCAATTATTTCAATAATTAGAATTTGTTAATTCCACACTCAGGCCATTTTCCAAGAAAAAATAAAACTTAGTTTGTTTATCATACAACGCATGAATAAATTGGGGCATTTTGATTGATATGCTTGGTTTTTGGATTTCTTAGACTAAACATCTAAGACTTTTAGGGGGCATTTGTTGCGCCGGACTATCTCGGACTGGATTAGCTTCAAGGACTAAGCTGGACTAGCTTAGACTAGACTAAACTGGACTAACTTAGTGAAGCGTTTGGTGCAGTATTGGACTAAGAAGATGGATAATAACAAATTCTAATATTATTTTATTTAATATATAAATTATTAATATTTTATTATGATCTTATCTTTTTCTCCATCTTTTCCTACCATTTCCGTCCCACTCTTTTCCTCTTCTCTCATCGTCCCACCCTCTCCCTCTTTTTTTCCTCTCAAACCTCTCAATTCATGTCTCTTTCTCATTCCTGGTCAAACTCCTTATTGATTCCAGTCTCTATTTCTCTGTCCTCCCTCCCTCTCTAGCTATGCGTTGTTTGAACGGAACCTCACGACTCCAATTTTCCCGACGAGTTGCAGGTTTCCCGATATGTTTTTTGGCCAACCCTCATTAAATTGGATGAAGTTAGCACTGCCAAAAAATTCATCACCATCCCTGGACCGAGATCTTAGCTTTGCATGCTCGAATCTGTCATGGATTTGAAGAAACCCAAACAGGCCGAGACTTCCAGGCCATTTTCCGGTCACATTCGACCACATTTTGGCCTTAATTCAAGTAAAATCGTAATCTTGTCACTCCCAGCTTCAATTTGGTATATTTTATATGAAAGTTGGTTGTGAAATGGATCTGAAAGAGAGTCGGAAAGTTAATGATTGATCTAGGTGACCGGAGATGACGAGGAGTCTGTCGGGAGTGGTCGTTGAGCATGACAAGGACGAGAAATAGAGGATAGTCTTAGCTAGTCCCATGGTTATTGGGGGGTCTCACTAAGACCTATTAGTGAAGGGTTTTGTCCATGCTAGTCCCCTTTAGTCTTATTAATGTTAGTCCCAGCATGGAACAAACACAGTATTGGACTAATAGCTAGTCTAGTCCAGTCCAATCCGACTTAGTGAGGGTAAACAAACGCCCCCTTAAAGATTTGATCAAACTAATTTCTACAATTTTAATTAATTTACTAATTAAGTTCAAAACTTCTTGCCTCAGTCCACTGGGTTAAGTTAGCATCAGGGCTCCATCTTTAGTCATCCGACTCATCCCCCCCACTATATATTCTCTTCCATCAACTTCTTCGCATTGAAGCAGCAAACAGCTGACAAAAAGGCCGATTCTAATCACCAAAACTTTTTTCATTCCAACTGCCATCGATCTTTGATCGATCCACAAACGAACTATATATGCAACCTTAACCTTTCGCTATCAACTGCAAATGCAAAACCACATTACAAATCCATTTATACATACAACATTGAGCCTATTACGCATTCAATTAGTAAGTTTTGATTTGCTTCTCCAAATGCCATATGATATTTCCATAACTAATTATCACATTTATTGAATAAATTATTATTGAAAATATTCCTTATCTTCTATGCTTGTGTATTTTTTTTTTTATAGCCGACCATGCTTGTGTATTTCAACTCATCGTCAGGGTCAATTTCTGAAATCACATTAATTCCTGATGATTTTATTCCATTTTAGAGATAACATTGACTAGGTGGATGATCCATTGAAGTTTTTGTAATGATTTTATACCATTTTGACGTCAAATACTTGATCATTGCCAATGCAAGAATTGGATTCCTTTGAGGTGAGACGCTATGTGGTGCCACTCGTGAGGGGGCGTTTTGGAGAATAGAGTCTCACATATCAGCAATTGTGTTTCCTTGTAGCTCATTTAGTATTTCAATTTTTAGCGTAGATTTTTTTGGTTTTAAGACATGAATGTCAGTTTGGATTGCTTGGATGATATTAGTTTATATATGAAGCATGTTACATTATGTTGTGTGTATTTTCTTTAATACTATCACTGAGTGTGTTGATCATGGAAACGATCTTGTGATGCTAAAACTTAAGAAAATTTTGTTTTGACTTCGTTTCGAGATTTGATATTGTTTACGATAAAAAAAACCCTAAATGTTCAACTTGAATTTGTGCCGCGTTTAAAATCCAATATGAACAACTTGCATTCATTCAATTACAGGTATCAATATCCACCCCACCCCAAACAAAAACACAATATAAAAACTTATTGTATGAAAATTTTTGTTTACTCCAAGTCGAATGCCAACAGAAACCGTAACATAAATGAAATGTGTACACTTAAATTCCAATTTAGCAAAACTCCAGCGAAACCATTAACATGTTTTTCGTATCGCTATACATTTTTGAGCAGCCAAGCAATGTCAGAGCATAAAGCACAAGTGAGCATATCATTGCAACGTAATGTTCGAACAACAAATGATTGGAAATTGAAGTAATATACAGAAAGAGATGACACCTTCACTCCCCGGTCCAGCATTTTGTTCTCCAATTTGTAAACCACGTCGTCGTCCTCCTCCGGTTTCTGGTTCCTTTATCCAAACAACCTCCGCCCCCACTCGTCTCAGCAAGAACGGCAGCTCCATCAACAACAATGGGATCCTGTTCCTTTTTTTCTTTTTTTTACAGTTCATCAAAAAAGAGGGAAGATCAAATAAAATAAAATAAATAGGTTTTCTCTATTTTCCACTTTTCCCATTGCTTTCCGATTTTCCGAGAAAATTATAGATGTTTACCGGAAAGGGAGAGCTCGTGGGAGACCAAGAGAACCAGCTTGGACTTCATGATATCCAGAGGGTTTGGTCCGCTGCTCCGGGCTGCTCGACCGGCCGCGGAGTGGACTACGTCAGGTGTACTGTCACTTCCATCACCGAAACGAATGCCACAGTTCGCGCTAGCTGCATTAATCGAACGCGTCTCTTATGAAGAAAACTATGGCGGAAAAGAGAGAAGAGTGCCAGAACCAGCAAGGACCATTTCTTCTTCTGCATTCCCATCCATGGATTCACCGGCTTCCCAATCAATCTCTTCACTCACCCTTTTTACCATTTCGTGAACAACAATGGCGAAGAAGAATGGGGAAATTTGGAAAAATAACCACAATTTGGACTCCATATAGAATTTATAACCATGATTTTAAATGAGAGCTACTAGACCCACCTATTGTCTTATTTTTCCACCCACGTTATAATTCCACCCACCTTTAAAAAGTTAAAAAATTAAAATGCTATTTTTCCACCCACTATTATTTCCAAAATAACCTTTAATATATACATACATATAAAATTATAAAATTGTCTCTCAAAAAATATAACAAATAATATCTAAATGAAAACCACTAAGGTCTGCAAATTCAAATGGAAACGACAGAGGTATCCAAATTCAAAAGAATTTGACAATGACAAATTTAAAAATACGATGGACAAATTCAAATGACCTACACACAAATTATTCTTCTACATTTTTAATGGACACATAATCTTCTACCTCTTCTATATAAGCGTCATCTTCTACCTATTCAATGAAAAAGTCATCTTCTAAGTCTATTGCTATTTTTTTACTTTCTTTGGATGAAAGGAGATGAAAATATGAGTTAGGGTTTAAGGTAGACAAATTGTCTCCCATGCCCAATCTGTTTTTTTTTAATTAAGCAAAACAAGATAATTAATGTCCTTATCAGTTTTTTTTTTTTTTTTTTTTTTTTGTAAATGGACAAATTTGTAATTAAAATTTCATTAAAAGGTGGGTGGAAAGATAAGACATTGAGGTGAGAATAACATCACTCTTTTAAATTAATGATAATTATAATCAAAAGTTGATATAAGAATACTATTATACCCTTAATTACTAAAAACTTTCCCATAACTAATCTAAAAGACTTGGAAATGAAGGACACGTAAAGTGCGAATTCTTTCTCTTCATAGAAACCAACCAAATAGATTTGAGCTAAATTGTGAATATGTAACATAAAATCAAGCATTCAATTCTTTGATTGGATTTTGGTTAAAGATTGAAAAGCTGAAATCCATAAGCTAAAAGTTAAAAGCCAGAAACAAATGGCAATCTTTTTACAAGCTGAAATGGGGTGGAGAACCATGGCTTGACCGGCCAATGGGAACAATGCTTTCAGAGTAATGATGAAAGAGGTCGAAATCTACTCTCTGTTCAGAAAATCAAAAGCAACAAAAATCAGAAAAATTAAGGGAGTTTGAATATAAAAAAATTCGCAGTATTATTCATTTAAAAAAAAAAAAACCACATTTTTACACTAAAAAATCAATCATGATACTATTCATTTTACCCTTTATTTTGTCCTTATAGTTAAAACTCAAAGTTTTCAAACTCTTTTCATTAGTTTTTCTAAAAATTAAATAACAAAAATTGAAGGAAAATATTAAAAATCATAAGAAGAATAGTACCTTTGGTGGGTCCACCCATTATCGTTACAGTGATTATCTTCATCTCCATGGCTGAAGCGGAAACCCTAGACCTTGTGCTGGTTTGAAGATATTAGATCATCTCCAACCGAATGAAGGTTAGAGAGTTCCCTTTAACCCTATAGCTCTATAATAAAATATTTTTTAATGAATAGTGTTATGCCATATTTCATACCATCTCTAACCGAGGAGGCCAAAGGACCATAGGCCAAACATAGTCCTGTGCAAAAAAATCATCTCCAACCGAGGGGACCAAAGAGCCGTAGGCCAAACATAATTTATTATTTTATTGAATTAATATAGTTAATTAAATTAAACTACTATATTAAAATAAGGTTTACGGACATATTTTGAGTGTCACTTGTCGTCAAATGAATAAGCTTCTGGATTTCTTATCTTTATATAATCTCAATAATTTTTTGGATCGGATTTTGAGTGACACGTGTTGCTAACGTGAGTAACTCTCTAGATTTCTTATCTTTATGTAATCTCAATAATTTTTCGAACATAATTTTGAGTGACACGTGTCGCTAAAGTGAAAAGTATGTGAGAAATGGTGTAGGAATGACTTAGATATTTATAGGGAAAAAATTATAATTTTTTTTAAATTCTAAAAAAAATTCAAATTCCAACAGTAACCTGACGGCAGCATGACATCAGCTAGCCCTTGCTAGCTGGCGTCATGCTGACGTCAGGTAGCCATTGGCATTCAGATGGGCTAAGCTGGAGGGTTAGCAAAATGTCAAGCTTAAGATTCTAGCACTGGAGGGCTGGCAAAATGTTAAGCTTGACATTCTGGCGCTAAAGGACTGGGCTGAAGGGCTAGCTGGAAATGGCCAGCTCGTTGGACTGATTTGGGGGTATTGGCCTGAGGGAGCCCACAAGCCTTTGGCCTAGCCCTTGGTTGGAGACGGTTTTCCTGTTATTCCGAACTATTTTTAGTCCTATGGCCCTTTGGCCAAGTTGATTGGAGATGGCCTTAGCACCTCAGAGAAGAGCTGAAAGTTTGAAGCAAGGTGGAGGAGATAACCTCATGGGTATATCAGTACTTTTACATTAACTTTTGGATATAATTATAGCAACTTAAAAGTGTGGCTATAATTATATTTGGGGTCCAAATTTTGGTTAATTTTCTAAATTTCCCAAGTCTTTTTTTCCTCTCTTCTTGACTGTGATTCTCTTGTTCACACCAGATGCTCGATGAAATGCTTCATTTGACAAGCTTTAGCAATCTTCAATAATACTCACAGTTTTCTATAGCTACCCTTGACAAGCATCATAATAGTTGTTGATATATGTTCGCATAAGCATTCACCAAATGTGGGCAGGATCGACATGTTTCTACCAAGTGCTCAACAAAATGTTCCAATGAGGTTTTTTTTTTGTTCGAAATCTTAATCTTATTATTTGAAAATTCTAACCCCGTCAGTGCATATATATCACACTTGACCTTTTGGGCTTGAAAAACCGAACAGGTGTGGACACTGGTGTTGATGGAATTAAATGAGAAACAAACAGTGTATCTTTTGGCCCCAAAATCCACTCAAATGATAGCAACCCATCAACTACAAAAGCGATGGTACCCCGGCAACAACATACGACTAAGCTCAGCTTCCACGTGTACGGTTGACAGTGCAACAGATAATGATATACCAGTCCATTAGCCATGCCCACATCTCCGTTTCATGAGAAATATTGACGACAGTCCGAGACTCTAAAAAATGAAACTCTTTATAAATTTCTGTCATCTTTATGTATTTTCAATACTATTTTATAATATTAATAAAAAAATTTAATTTTAAATTGTAAAATGACAAAATATTCATAAAGACTGAGAGTCCATTTTTCTTCCATTTTTTAGTCTACCCGACAAAGCAACAGCGGGGGCTATTTTTATGTTGGCCCTTTCTCTTTGTTATGATCACGTGCCACCATGTGATTGAAGAACAATTCACAAAAAGAGTGTGCTATCCACCCATTATATTTGACTTCTTACATACCTTTTGTTAATTTCTATCCGTTGATTTTCTTTAATTCATCCGACCCGACGCCAAAAATTAAAAAAATGTATGAAAAATAAAATAAATGTGTGAATATCACATCTCCTCACAAAACTAAGATAAGCAGGGAGAATGATATGATCAGGTAATACTTTTTTGGCACGTGTACCTTGTCATTTCCTATGCAAAATACCATATTGTTCTATAGCGATCTATTACATACTTGCCTGCTCAATTATTGTTGTGTGACGATGAGTTTTTGATTTGACTCACACAGATGACAAGAATGTTTAGAATACGATGAGCTCTTTGAAATTAGTACAACCCTACCTAGTTTGTTGGGGGTAAATTAAGCAAAAATTGTTTAGAGAATTGTTATTAGCACTAAAAAAATTCATATTCTACACTCCTTACGAGTGTATTTTTCTTTCTAATTATAAAATGTTTGAAGTGCCAAATAAGATTTTTGAAATGCTAATAACAATTTCCATTGTTTAAAGGAGGAGAAAAATGACTTCTTTCTAATTATAAAAAATTTGACGTACCAAATAATATTTTTAGAATGCTAATAACAATCTTCATTGTTTAAAGGAGGAGAAAAATGACTTCTTTCTAATTATAAAAAATTTGACGTACCAAATAATATTTTTAGAATGCTAATAACAATCTCCATTGTTTAAAGGAGGAGAAAAATGACTTCTTTCTAATTATAAAAAATTTGACGTACCAAATAATATTTTTAGAATGTTAATAATAATTTCCATTGTTTAAAGGAGAACAAAATGACTTCAGCGGTCAGATCGTGAGTTAAAGTCGGGGCAACTGATTGGAGATACTGTTCGTAAATGACGGCAGATGGAGGTGGTGAGTGCAACCACTCAGTTGGTTCCCGTCTCACAAATTGGAGATACTGTTTGTAAATGACAGCATATGGACGGTCCATATCTCTCTACTCAAAATTAAATTTTTTTTTTTAACAAACGATATTATCTACATTAAAAAAAAAAGTGAGCTTAGTCTTATAATGAGTTAACAATAATGTCGTTCAAACTCACATTTGAGGAAAATCGAACCTAAGATCTCTTACTTACAAATAAAAAGAAATATCACTAAATTATAGTATTAAGGGATTAAAATTAAATATCTTTAAAAATTAGTATATTCTTATTTGTATTTATATACCCCTACATTTTATTTTAAGTTTTCTCCTTGGAGAAAACGTGGCGGGAGAGTGTCACTAACTGCCAGAATACAAAGAAGACTCACCATAAAGTACTTGTAAAAGTTGATGACTATGAAAACGTGGCAGGAGAGTGTCACTAACTGCCAGAATACCTAGTAGCTTTGTGTTAGCCTCACTTGTACGAACACTGAAAATATCGATATGTAAATTTATAAAACTATCAATAGATATATTGATATCAATATCTATTTTAGCTGCTACCGATGAAAATGTTAAAAAATTTGTCCAAAAGCATAAAAATTTAAAATCAAATTTGAGAGAATGTCATATGATAATTTGTTGATGTTTAATTGATAAGATGAAAATACCGACAAAATTTATTAATTTTAATCAAAATTTAAAAATTTCTCTAAAAAAGATAAAGTCTAAACTTCGTCCCCAGTCTTTATTCTTAAATTTTTAGGAAAATTAACGAAAAATTCTCAAAAATTTTAGTTTGAATGAAAAATGACAAATAAATATGTAACACAATAGTACTAGAAAAGGTAAAAATATAGTTTTTCATTAAAAATTAACAGTTTTGTTAAAATCCTTTAATTTTTTTCGTTATTTTCATAAAATATATGAGGACTGTTTCAAAATCCGAGAGAGTTGGAAAACCTACACACTCGATCACAGTACATCTCTCTCACTCACCATTTCCGGTTGCCAACTAGTTCACTCTTAAATTCCATTAATTTAAGCCCTTGATTTAATTTAGTTTTCTGTGACCTCTCTCACGCATTCACTCTCACCCAAAACCCACAGCACCTCCATCGCCAACCCGGCATTCACTCTCTTCCACTTGCCATTTTTGGCTCACTTCGATCACCTCCCATTTTGGTCACACCATCGTTAGAACAGGAAGAGTAGCATTAAGGCTTTGATCCTTTTGGCATCTGGGGTTCTTCTCATTCTTTCTAATTTTACAATTTTCCGACGATCCGGGAATTCCTGATTTCGCCTCTGGTATTTTGGGTGATTTTCTGTTTTCGATCCTGTGCATGTTTGTAGGGCTTTTCTGAAAAGTGCTTTTATTTGCTGTTGCATAAAAAAACCATTTAGGTCATAGAATATTTGAATCAGGATATTTGAAAAGTTGTGTGCTTTTTCGTTTCTGTGAACCATGGATTCCTGCTGTGCGACATTGAGGGCCAATGGGTTCTTGGGGGAGAGTGTGAGGTTGGGTTCAAAGAGCAGAGATTTGAGTGCCCTGTTTCTCAAAAGCTCTAAATTTGAAAGCAGAGGTAGGAAGCTTAAGCCTCCTGGTGTGGCTTACTCCATTTTTACCGATGTCAACCAAGAGGCTGTGGTAAGTCTTCCTGATCCTGTGTGTGTAACTGTTGTTCTTGTTTTCTAAACCGAAATCTTGGGATTTTGATGATTTGGGTTTTTTTGAGTAATCACTTTTGGCTTTTGTGCTTTTGATTTCAGACGTTTCAGGCACCACTGTTTGAGACTCCAAGGGCTGACCCCAAAAATGTGGCTTCTATAATTTTGGGTGGAGGTGCCGGAACTCGCCTCTTTCCTCTCACCAGCAAGAGAGCCAAGCCGGCGGTAAGAGATCAGTATTTGTTTGTCTTTCGTTTCAGTTAATCATATCGAAAAATGGTTTCTTTACGTAAAATTTGGTGTTGAATTTTGCAATGTTATGTGATTTGCAGGTTCCGATTGGAGGGTGTTACAGGCTGATTGATATCCCAATGAGCAATTGCATTAACAGTGGCATTAAAAAGATATTCATATTAACGCAATATAACTCGTTTTCCCTCAATCGTCACCTTGCTCGTACTTATAATTTCGGGGATGGTATGAATTTCGGAGATGGATTTGTGGAGGTAATGTGTTAGAATTTGTCTGTCAAACCACATTTGATCGTTGCAATTAATGAAGAAAATATTTAATGAATTGAAGACTAATTTTTTGGAGCAATAGGTTTTGGCTGCCACTCAAACACCAGGAGAAGCTGGGAAGAGATGGTTCCAAGGAACAGCTGATGCTGTCAGGCAATTTATATGGGTCTTCGAGGTGGGTGCTTTCGATTTTACAAGTCTTTATCGAGAATTTGGTGGAAATAGACTGAAATCTTTTGGATGATCTGTGCAGGATGCAAAGAACAAAAATGTTGAGCATATACTGATATTATCCGGCGATCATCTTTACAGGATGGACTATCTGGACTTTATACAGGTGCTTATTACTTGCTGGTGGAAAGTTTTAATTTATTTTAGTTATAACCTTCTAAAAATCCATATATCCTTCATACCAATGGCCGTAATTCTTACAGAAACATATTGATACAAATGCCGACATTACAGTTTCATGTATACCCATGGATGAAAGGTACATTTTCGTTTCCTAATACTACTGTTTCAAGCGTCCCTCACAGATAGATATATGTTCAAAATAAACTCTGCTTCTTTTGTTCCACCTTGGAAATATGACTGACAGATATTTGTCCTTGTCGTGGATCTTGTTTGTCTTGCAGCCGGGCATCAGATTACGGACTCATGAAAATAGACCAGTCAGGGCGTATAATCCAATTTGCTGAAAAACCAAAAGGCGCTGACCTAGAAGCAATGGTAGTTAAAGCTGCTTATTTTGATTGTATTTTTGTGCTTTCCTCCTTGTTTTACTGGATTTACTGTAATCAAAGTACTTCAATTATCGTTCCAGATGATGCGCCATATCCTTCCCCTAATTTCAATTTTTGTCTATGGCTTATTTGCCCACTGCAGCAAGTTGACACCACTGTTCTGGGGCTTTCTGATCTGGAGGCTATGAATTCTCCTTATATTGCATCGATGGGTGTTTATGTGTTCAGAACTGATGTCCTACTAAAGCTATTAAGGTGGAGCTATCCTTCTTGCAATGATTTTGGCTCCGAGATTATTCCATCAGCTGTGAAGGAGCACAACGTCCAGGTGAGATAGCTCTTTCGATAAAAGTTTTATCTCATCTTTGTTTTTTTCTTATAGTTCATCTTTGAATATTTATACAAGTAATTCTCAAAAATTGGTTTGTATCTGGTAACTGAGTGACTGAGTAACGGGATGCTCTACATGATCAGGCATATCTATTCAATGACTACTGGGAGGATATCGGAACTGTAAAGTCTTTCTTCGATGCAAACTTGGCCCTCACAGAACAGGTTGGTAATACCTGCACTGAATCATTCCTACTCTTCGATTGGATTTTTTCCCTGACGTGCATATGTGGGAACGATTACTGATTACATACTTTCTTTCCTGCAGCCCCCGAAGTTTGAATTCAATGATCCAAAGACACCTTTCTACACCTCTCCTAGATTCTTGCCACCTACAAAAGTTGAAGAATGCAGGGTATGATTGCGAGCTTAATTTACCATGTGATATTCGCTATGTCTTTCTGATCTCATTGTTAAGTGAATTTTGCAGATTATGGATGCAATTATTTCTCATGGTTGCTTCTTGCGAGAGTGTAGCGTTCAACACTCCATTGTAGGTGTGCGCTCTCGTCTAGAGTCCGGTGTAGAACTGAAGGTACGCATTGGTAACAACAGGCTACCAGATTCCAATCTGTCAATCTTGAACTCATTGTTTTGTTATATATTTCAAACGGCAGTTAGAATTCGCTTGCAAACATAAGCATGCTGGTATTACGAGCGCTGACTACATTTGGTTATTTTAAATCGATGTTCAGGATACTATGATGATGGGTGCAGACTACTACCAAACGGAATCTGAGATTGCATCTCTGCTAGCTCAAGGAAAGGTTCCAATTGGTGTCGGAGAAAATACCAAAATCTGGTGAAATACCATTAGTTACAGATTTCTGTTTAGTTCTGAATAGAATTCTCGCTCTTTTATACTGATTTTTTGTGCCATATCTCTTGAAGGAATTGCATAATCGACAAGAACGCCAAGATAGGAAGAAATGTGGTGATATCAAATGGCGATGTAAGTACTCCTTTCGAAACTTGATATGACTCGAAAAGATCTGATCATCATTGCATTATTTCTGATTTCGACATTGATGAACAAATTGCTTCGGCTTCTCAGGGAGTTGAAGAAGCAGAGAGGGCAGACGAAGGATTTTACATAAGGTCGGGAATCACAGTCGTATTGAAGAATGCAACGATTAAAGATGGAACTGTCATCTAAATCTATCAGTTCGACGGCGAGGTACTTGTTCCGAGCCACGGTGAATGGTACCTTGATGAAGTAGCTTGAAATGCTTGCTTCTGTAAATTAACATGTTTCTTTGATGTATGTAACTTAACATTCTAGTTACTTAATAAGATCAATAAAGCTCTTTCTTTCGTTTATATCTCACGAACTACGTTTTGATTTTTTTTATTTTTATTTTCCTGGTATCACCATCATATGATGATGCCACCACACACAAACAGCTGAATGCGAGCTTAAGAATCAACACGAATAATTGTTTTGACAACACTGTCACGCGGTGTTGCCACCACACATATATGCCAATAAGGTCTGTCATTTTGTGTCGTGTTTGTATTACTTTTCAAAGGGACTTCGAATTAAACCCTTTCCTACCACCCCTTCATATATTAAAAAAATGGTTTCTGAAATTAGCATAACTCCTTATTTTGGTCATTGAGATTTGAAATCGATAGAAATGATCACTAAATTTGTACATTGTCAATCATTTTGGTTATTTTCTAGGAAATATCTTTGGTAAATAAGAATCAAAATGACCAAAACACACTTAATATAACAAACAATAGGCTACAATGATTTTGACAAGTGGGAGTATTTTTATCATTTTATCATATTGAATGGAGATTTTTTACGAAATAACCAAAATAATTGACTATACACAAACTCGGAGTCTATTTTTATTTGATTTAAATGTCAAAGACGAGAAAAGTTCTGCCAAAATCATTTCGGCTAAAAAGCCAAGAAAACAAAAACAAAAAGTTGTAGAAGATTACGCCTTTTCTTTACAATGGGCAAGGAGCCCATCCTGCCTAGCAAACCGGGAAACTTCACCTGTTGGCAGCCTCTGATAGATTCCGCAGCCGCCGAAACTCAGTCACTCAGTCTCAGCTACTGAATCTTGTTTGTGCTTCCATCCACTCCAAATATGCAAAATTAACAACTTCTAATCCTCACTCTCTCTAATCCAATTCAAATTTTCCCTTCGTCTTCGTTTCAATGGCAGCTGGTCAAGTTTTCTTCACGGGCGCCCATGCTTCCAACGTTTTCTGCTATCCCTATCCCCAGCCAGCAAACCCAATGACCAACGAATCGAAGAAAACCCATTGCCACAGATTCACAGGCAACTCTTTGTGGGCAATCCCAATGAGCCTTGTCACCCACAACCGCCGTTTCCAGCGGCCATTGGCGGCGGCAAGCGTGGAGGAGACGGCGAAGACTGAGAGCAATGAAGGGAAGTCGCGGATTAGGCTGGATGTGGTGAGTCCTGAGATTACAGAAGCTCAGAAAGAAGCTATTGAACAACTGCCACAAAATATGAGCAAGCGGTGTAGGGCTTTAATGAGGCAGCTCATTTGCTTCTCTCCAGAGAAGGGCAGTTTGTGCGAGTTGTTGGCTGATTGGGGTAGGATTATGAAGCCTTGCAGAGCTGACTGGCTTGCTGTTCTTAAAGAATTGAGGGTAAAGGATCACCCCATTTATCTTCAGGTATTTGCTTTTTACTGGCTTTATCGTGATAGTTTTAAAGTTCAGTACTTTGAGTTCTACAACCTTCAGGCAATTTTGTTTTACTGGGTTTATTTTTAATTTTCTAAAGTTCAATGCTTTCCAAGTTTTATTATCATTTGCTTTTGTCTTGTATTTACTGTTTTTAGTGTTTTTGTGGATGTGAATTCTTGGGGTCCTTTGAATTTGAAGAAATCAGAGGATTCTTGAAAGGAAGTTTGTGTGTTTTTCTGTGTGTGTGTGTGTGTGTGTGTGTGTGTGTGTGTGTGTGTTAGGGAGGGAGAGGTAGATGATTTTTAGGTCACCTTAGCCAGCTATGATCAGATTGTTCATGCTGTTGATAGACCAAGGTGTGTATTGTGTTGAAATTGAATACCCATCTGAGTTCTTGATAAAAACAATTTCAATTAGCAATTACGTATCAAGTGTGAATGGCCATTTCTGGTGCTGCCTAATCATGTTTTGTTTTCAATTAGGGGAGATAAGGACTGTTAGGTGGTCATGGTACTTAGGCGTGGCATGACGGGTAATCAGAAATGATGATTAAGAGATCTTGAATGGGCGAAATAAGAATAAGTTATTTACGATAATCTAAAATTCTCAGCTGTGACTAAAACTTGTTTTCTCAATTCAAGCGGTCCAAACTCATTGAGCAAGATGATTTCTTGCTGTTGAACCCCCTTTAGCATCATAGGTAAGTCCTTGTTCGAATATCTGGCTTAGGTTTCCCTGTTTTCGAATTTGAAGTGCTAGGGATGGAGCTGTCATGTTCCATCTCTTTCAAGTTCTAATCCTCTTCCAACTTTTATACATTTTTAGAACTCCAATTTGTTCATGTTTGATCTGCATGTTATGAGATTCTCGCACTCTCCACATGTATATTTTATCGTCTTCAACAAGTTCACTTACAAATGTCGTATTTTTGAAAATCTGCTTACTGAACCGTTTGTAGGTGGCCGAAATTGCTTTACTAGAAGAATCTTTTGAAGCCAACATTCGTGACTATACCAAAATAATTCATGGTTATGGGAAACAAAACCGAGTTGAGGATGCTGTAAAAACCCTTTCGAACATGAAGGCTAGAGGCTTCATATGTGATCAGGTAACTCTAACTCCATGATTGACATGTATAGCAAGGCTGGAAATCTTAAGCTAGCTGAAGAAACTTTTGAAGAACTTAGGCTCCTTGGACAGCTGTTGGATAAAAGATCGTATGGCTCAATGATTATGGCGTACATTAGAGCTGGAATGCCTGATCAGGGAGAGAGTTTGCTCACAGAAATGGATGTTCGAGAGGTTTATGCTGGAAGTGAAGTTTACAAGGCATTGTTAAGAGCATACTCAATGGTTGGTGATACTGAAGGAGCTCAAAGGGTGTTCAATGCAGTTCAGCTAGCTGGTATTTCTCCAGACACTAAGCTATGCGGACTTCTCATAAATGCATATGGTGTATCGGGTGAAAGTCAAAAGGCGCGTGTTGCGTTCGAAAACATGAGGACTGCTGGTCTTAAGCCAAATGATAAATGTATAGCTCTAGTGTTGGCTGCTTACGAAAAGGAGAATAAGCTTCAAAAGGCATTAAAATTTCTGATAGCTTTGGAGAGAGATGGTATCATGGTTGGGAAAGAAGCCGCTGAAACACTGGCTGGATGGTTTAGGAAACTAGGGGTTGTGGAAGAGGTGGATATGGTCTTGAGAGAATTTGCAGCAACGGAAGAGAATTCTAGCATTCCGGCTTCCTAGTTACCCTCTCTGGGTTTTATTTTCTGCGGCAATGAGGAGAAGTCTCTCTTTCCAAGTATATCGCTCCTTCTCATTGCTAGGAATATGATAGTGAAGTTATGAGGGAGCCGAAAAGATCTGATCACAAATGGTGATTTTAGTACACTCCTCGAAACTTGAAAGGAATCGAAAACAGATCACCATTGCATTATTTCTGATTTCAACATTGATGAACAAATTGCTTTGACTTCTCAGGGAATTGAAGAGCAGACAGAGCAGACAAAGGATTTTACTTAGGGTCGGGAATCAGTCGTACTGAAGAGTGCAACGATTAAAGATGGAACTGTCATCTAAATCTATCAATTCGACTGCGAGGTACTTGTTCAGATCGAGCCATAGTTAATGGCACCTTGACAAAGTTCGTCTGTAGCTTTAACTCGATGTAGTAGCTGGAAATGCTTGCTTCTGCAAATGAACAAGTTTATTTGATGTACTTTACCAAACATACTAGTTACTTAATAAGATCAATAAAGCTCTATCTTTCGTTTATATCTCACGAACTACGTGTGATCGTTGCTTTTCGAAACAGATTATAATCCTTAACTCTTGGATGAACATACATGGATTTAAGACATCAACCTTCATTCAGTTTTCTGTACCATTGGCCTTATTCCCAGACCAGAACCGATCCCTTCGACTTTCCCTCGCTCGCTTCCACTTCTCGATGTTTCTCAACCTGGCATACTTCTTCCGAATCTCATTAAGCTTCCGAGACTCCTCGGCAATCAAACCAACTGTCGAGGAGCTCTCGCTCAACACAACCCCATACCCGTCTTGGAAATTGTTCATTCCTTCGGCCAGAAGTTGCCAGAATAAGCCGCCAACGGCAGCACCTCCACCCCTAGCCGACGAGTAGATACCCAAGTAGACTACAGTGAACATCCGGTCACGCTGGCTTGTGGTATAACCCGACTCTTTCAAAGACCTTCCAAACTCCGCAAACAGAACTGGCTTCTTCAGAATGTTTTGTGCATCCTGGATGTGACCACTGACCCAACTGTTCAAAAAAGAGACTTGATCTTCGTAACTTGACCCGGTTAACCTGCACATCGTTCAAAAAAACACTGTTCACGACATTTTCTCTCTCCTTAAAGTAGAATATCGTTGTATCAAACAAAAAAATAGCGACACATTTTATGAATCTTTACCATTGATCGGGATATGCGTGGACGGTGGCAAAGTCAATGTCAGGGATCTGATTATTTGCAATGAAATCAGTTCCAATTGGATAGTTATTCGGATTTTTTTTCGGATTTGATGATCCATAAAACCCTTCAAGGCCAACTTCTAGCAAATGATTTCCATCTATGGATTTCAAGTAAGACGCCATTTCCGTTATCCAAGCCTGTCAAGCAAATACAAAGGTCAATCATTTTCCCCACCAACGGCGAAAGCACTCTGTTGGGGCGACACAGACACTGAGAGACGGAAGTTAGGGGAGCAAATGGGATTAGATACCCCAGTAGTTCTAGCCGTAAAAAGTTACTGTAGTAGTTTTTCGCACACTCAATTTCTCGCTCGCCTTTAGCCAAAATACTAGAGAGACTAGCTGAACAAATGAAGACGGGGCACACCATGATACAAGTTTTTAGACATCAATTTTAAACCAAATGTGCATGACATGCTCTTAACAAACTGAGCTTGAATAGATTTGTAGAGATAAACTTTTTCCGATACCAGGAAAAGAGAGATTCGAATACAGATCCTCAGGTCTACAAACCGATCGCTTCGGAACGTGAGAGAAAGAAAAAAAAAGAGAAGGTTTGGCAGACCTGAATGGTTTTTCCAGATGGATCTGAAGTGCATCTTGGCTCATTCATAAGCTCCCAAGCCATTATGGTTGGTTCATCTTTGTAAGCAACTCCAGTCAGAGTGTTGATCCTCGTAAGAACAGTCTACATATACACAAGATCACAAAACCTCCATATCAATATATTATTATTCAGAACAAACGGGACTTGACCTAATTTCAACTAACTATACAATTTTTTAATACTTTTTCTCTTTCTGACAAAGACGATCTATTCTAAATTATTGTAATCTACAAGGTGGGCCACGAATAGGTAGTAGATTGTCCTGATAAATAGAGTATTTTTTCAACTCATTACGTTTACTACATTTAAAGTTTAAACTCTCCCCTCTCTTTAGTGTAGTTTAGAGACAAAAAGAAGAAAACCGGTACACTATATTGACCAACTTGGCCAAACTCATGTTTGCGGAAAACTATTATCTAGTCTTTTGCAAATTGGTAAAAGTTAACGTGAAATATTTCTCACTATAAAAGTAATGATACTAGAAGATGAAAACCAACCAAATAATACCTATAAACTTACATCAACCCAACATTGTTTTTACTAAAAGCACTTATAATACTGAGAAATTAAGAGCTCGTTTGGATGTGTTTTTCAAATAGCTGAAAGCATTTTTGGTGAAAATGTTTTTGGAACCAATCTTTAGTAAAAATACAAGTAAATCCAAGAAAATCACTTAAAAACGCTTTTTGAAAAAGAAAAAAAACACATAACTGATACTTCTTGCAAAAAACACTTCAAGTGCTTTTGAAACCCAAAAATATTTTCTCTAAAAGTGTTTTCAGTTATTTTAAAAGCACATCCAAACGAACCCTAAAACAAATTAAGAAAAATGATTTACCTTGATATGATTTTTGTAAAATCCCTTCACGAGAAAGTTGGTATAGAAATCATCTTCAGAAGATAGAGATTGGCCTTGGCTTCTAGCCCACTCCACATACTGTTTCTTGCCTCCATAGTTGTAATAGTTGTTCACCAAACTCAGTATCAACTTGATCCCATTCTTTTTTGCCTCAGATATCACAAAATCCAACCCCTTCCAACCCCAAAAACCAAACAAAAAAGACAATCACACCAAAATTAAAACTATAAATTATTTATGGAAGAGCTAAAAGCGTTTTCTGACAATAAAAAACACTTGGTAGTAAATGGTAAAAATGCTTATGGATCGTAAAAATGTTTATGGACCGTAAAAATGCTTTATGGACAAGCACCTGTCAAATGTTTCTTTAAAAAATACTTTCGAGTGTTTTTTTAATTACTACAATTTTGAACGTGCTTCTAACAAAAACGCTTAGTAGCAAAAGTGTTTCCGACAAGGGCAGTCCCAAACAATCTCTAATACCAGATCATTTGTAAACGCTTCTGAGGATGGCTTGAAACAAAACTAAAGAGTTTATGGACTATCTTCTGAGTGACGTGCTTCTAATAAAAGCGGTTCCAGCAAAAGCACTTACCCGAAAAGTTCGCTCGTCGTACGACCCCGGAGAGGTCTGCAGAGCTCTGTATCCGCCATCGGCGAAAGCCCAAGTCCTTGCAATTGTGAGCCCATGTTCCTTCGCCTCTCGGAGGGCAGACGAAACTTTCACCCTCTCGGAAGGGTCGGTCCCCATGTACATCAACCAGTAGGCATTGAAGCCGTGTCCATAGTACGGAACTCCGTTCAGCACAAGCTGCACTCCTCTGGTTTTCATAAACCCGTCTTCCGCTAAAACTCCACGGTTCTGGAAGATGAACAGCAGTGCCCCGAAGAACATCACAACCAAATGCTTCATCTTTCTTCTTTTCCTCCTCCTCCTCCTCTCCTCCTCTGTTTCGCTTTCTGTAATAAATACAGTGTGGATGGAAGGAACTTTATAGGAAATTATGATAATTTTGTGGCGGTTTATGGAAAAGTGTTAGTGATAGTGTAGTTTCCCGTTTCAATGGTTTTACCTTTTTTTTGGACTCAAATTAAGTGGAGGAAGGTAATGAGTGAAAACCCGATTATACCCTTATTGTTTAGTTACATGCAATGTGGATCTCGTCTTAAAATCCGTGATCAAACAGCTTGAGAACCAAGAGGTCATTTTAGTTAATCTCGTCTTAAAATCCGTAATCAAACAACTTTAGTTGATCCGATTCTTATTTCTTACTCTCCTATTCTTAAGTTCCTTGATTTTGGTATTTTACTTTTCTTAATTCTTGAAAAATAAAATGCAACAAGGGGTCGTTTAGTTTGTGAAATAACCATGTGGAAAATGAAACTCTTATGTTGATTCTTATGAGACGAGAACGAAGGACGTGTCATTTTGGTGCTTGGAAACGCATGAAAGTTGAGTGCAAGTGCTAATTTTCTCATTCTACGTCTGACTATGGAACTACGTAGGGTTGAAAAAACTGAAATCAATCCTAAACAGAAAAAACCAAAACCGACCCCTAGAACTGTGTCCCTAACCGAAGTTCTTGTTTCTTGTCATGTAGTTTAAATTAGATTCGAATATCACTTCAATAAAAAAAGTTTGTAAATAAGTGTATTAAATGTTTTTCCAAGAAGAATCAAAGGTATGTTAACAGTTCATGATTAGTTAGTAGAAATATTACCATGGGGTGTGAATGTGTAAAAGTACAAAGTGAATTTGTAAACCAACCTTTCAAAAAATTGAGAGGCAATGCCATGTTCCTTTGGCAACCTAACTTACGCTGAAAATTTAGGAGACACACGATAGGGACATTTTTAGTAGCTTAACTCGCATCACTTGTCCCTTTGCCTAAAAGAAACATAACCATACATGTGGCTACAAATTAAACATTTGTTCGCATATAGATCATAGTGCTTTACTGGTGTGGCGGAAATTAGTCGTGTCTATGCATTTTAGTGTGAGTTTTATTCCTACTGATTTTTTTTTTCTCCTTAAAAACTAACTATTTAACCTACTAACGCTATTGCTCTAACCAAATCCTCTTCTTTTTTTTTTTTTCTTTTTTTTCAGTTTTAAAATCAATACTCTTGCAAAATATTTGTAGTTCGGTTAGTTAAGAGCATTCAATTGTACGTTTGAAGTCTCGAGTTTGACTTTCCCAATAGGCTTGTTTTATTAGCACCCCACAAATTGTTAACTAAACCCTACTAAACACACCCCACACTTACTTTTCAAAAGAAAAATTGTCTTAATACACCCATATTAACTTCCTAAAAGACCCTCATAATCCACTCGCACATAAATATGAAAAATAAAAAAACAAAAATTTCTCTTAGACGCCTGCAACCTGCAAAACTGCCACAACCCTTGCTTCCACAACTCTGCTTCAAAACTATAGTAGTGGATATAAGTACATATCTATGATCATTCATATATAAGAGTAATTAAAAGTCCTGGGAAAAGTCCGGCCCTATAAATCTGGCATGAATACATATTATCCTTCTCTAATGAGCAGATATTTTGCAGTGGATGTGGCAAAATATTTACCCGATCAAACTTTCTATTGTTAATATTTACATGGTAGTAATTGGTAATCCTAGCATCAAGTTTAATGTTTCGTGTCAAACTGTGAATCAGTTACAGTTAAAAAAAAAAAAAATGGAAGCCTGAGATTAAAGTTAATTTGAGAGCTCCAAGAAAAATATTTTTGGTGTGTAAGTTTTGATTTCACGTTGGATTTGTGGGTTTTATTAAGAAATCAAAGTCTTAAATTTTAGGCCTAAATAGTCATTTCATTATAATAACATTTTATTAATTCAATATTAAAATTTTAAATGAGGTGTAATCAACAATTTATGAGGTGTCAATAAGAAAACCCTTCCTAATATCATTGTATCAAAATAAATCAATACGCCACTCAATATTAGGTCTGGTGGTATTTCTCTTCACTTGGAAGTGAGAGGTTTTAGGTTTGAATCTCGTGGATGGGGAATTCGATACCAAATTAGGCTGCCCATTGTGTAGCTTTGTCAAACTCCCCCTCTTCTTAGTGTAAAAATATTGATGTACTAAAAAAAACAAATCAATAGTCCCAAAACCGATAAGTTTTCAAGTAGTGATTAAAAGAAATTTCTTTTGTATTATGTAGTATTAAATAATAAGGGAATGAATGATTGTGATTGAAAGTAAAAGATTTAAACAGTTGTGGAAATCAAATATAATGACCAAAACACTCGTAGCATTAAAACCACACATATTATTATCAAATAATGTAGAATAATAAGATTTTAAAAAATAAAACAACCACAAATATGTTTTGTTTTCTGTTACTTTTTGGCCATTCATGCGTTTATGGTGATGAGGGAAAAACCTGAAAAATAAATCCGAAAGCAAAAGAGAAAATATTATTGCCAAAAACAGTAAGGCGCGTAAATCACTGAGCGGACATCACGGTGGCGTTATAACCACGGCTGACGGAGGATTATGACCTGCTGGTAAGAAAATTATTTAATTTGAATATTCAACTGCCACGAAAAGGACGAGGGTCCAATACGATACGAGGAAGCTTTTCAATCGTCCAATTACATAACTTTTCTTGTATCCCAATAAATAGGGTACTAGGGAATAATGACGGAGTCAGAATGAGACCATTGATCATGACCTCAATAACATTAAAAATCCGATGTATATTTGTATGTGCATCGTATTTGATCATATAAACGGTTAGGACAAACTAAATTGTAACTTCCTACTTCTATTTTTTCTTATTATCCCTAGCTTCCTTTTCTCTTTTCTGGTGTACGACTCTATTGCGCGCACCAAGTGCTCAATAAAGTGCCTCAGTTGACAAGTCTTAGAATCTTTAACATTACTCTACAGTTTCCTATAGCCACCCTTGACAAGCCTCTACATATCATAGTAGTTGTTGACATATGTTAGCATTAAGCCTTCATCGTGTTGGCAAGAATCGACACATTTCTACTAGTGCTCGACGAAATGGTCCAACGAAGTTTTTTTGGTTGAAATCATGACACCATTATTTGAAATCATGGCTCTGCCACTAACGAGGAAGCTTCTCATTCAGATCAAATCACATAACTTTTTTTGTATCCCATTAAGTGGAGTCGCCTGTATGAATTCTAAAACGCACACTTGGCCTTCCGTCAACACCAAGTACTACGTATCTTTTCTTATAGTCTATTTAAAATCTTCTTAAATTTTCATCTACCACATTTTACTCCAAGCCTTCGTCTTATGATCACATATTCTAATCGAAACATCTCTAACCAAGTTGAGTAACCGCAGGCCTGCATCGTAATTTTAGACTTTTAGTATATGAGTTTTGTAACTTGAGACAACATATAGATTCAAAAGGCATAATTTTATTGCGAATGCAGATATGAGCAAATGCAAAGCAAAGAATAAAGCAAAAAAGAAGGAAAAAACTGCAAGTTTGGTTCGTTGCTTTTCTTCTCAATGGGATCTTACTCCATTCGTGTTTGACACTTTGTGCGTTCTCCTTCTTATGTGATGTCATAAAACGGATTTTTCCTAGTCAGCCGACGTAAAACTTGCACCAATTTCATATTCTTTTCTTTTATGCAACGAGACAAGAGGTATATAGAGAAAAATAGTATGAAACTTGTTCAAAGCAAATCTCTCTCCACTGACAGCAATGTTACATTATTACAATTTACGTTACGTGTTACAAATTATGTCTTTTGAATAAGTTGTAACACGTAACGTAAATTGTAATCATGCAAACTATAGATGCAAACCTGTTGAGTCGAATTTTCTCATCTTCAAATCCTCTCTTCTTTTCCCTCCTTCTCTCATATTTTCCTCTTTATTTTTTTCTCTCTATAAAGAAGTCAGGATAAGATATTAATGTGGCCTAATCATAACTTTTTAAATAAGAAGAGACTGATGAAGAGAGAATTCTACTCCCAAACCTGCGCCGCTCTTATACTTGTGTGCCATAAATTTTGTTAGCAGTTCATGTGAACCCTAAAACTACTCATATTTGCACTTTTTTTTTCCCTTTTTTCTGTGGCCACACACAGGAAGAACACAAACTTTTTATTTATTATATACAAGAAAAAAAACTCGAGAGAAATTCAAATGTGAACAGAGTAAACGGAAACAGAAAAGATAATATTTGGTGCTTTTCAACTCATTTTATCAGGTTTTTATGGGAGGAAGGAACTATTTCGGGAGTTTGCCGACTCAAATTTTAGAGGACCCAATTGTGATTTTTGGATTCTCATGCAAGATCATGCACCCCACCATCCGAAACCTAGTACGACAGAGTTTAATTAAGAGTCCCTATGAAAAGTAATACAAACAACACGAAATGGCCGACCTCGCGGCCGATTGTGTGATGGCGATACTACGTGACAGTATTATCAGAAAAAGTATTTTGTTAAGTCTTGAGCTGGATTCAGCTGTTCGTGTGCGGTGGCATCGTCACGGTGATCCAAAAAAAGGAAATCGACTTGTGTTGATGCTCAAACTCACATCCAATCATTAACTTTCTTTGAATTCTTAAGTGCATGATCAACCGTTTAATTTAGCAATATGTTCTCCAGAATTTTCGGATTATGAGAAGCTTATAAATGAGAGTTCGTTTGGAGCTGCTTTTAAGATAACTAAAAATGCTTATGGAAGAAACATCACTTGAATTTTTACTAAAAATTGATTTCAATCATTTTAAAAGTATTTTCCAACGAGCCTTGAGACGGAAGCATACCCTTTAGACACAAATTTTGGGCCCCTGGACAAGGTTCTGTTTACTTTATATGGATTGGCCAGGCCTATGGGCTTAGACTCTGCATTATTGCAGGCCTTACAATACTGAGTTCAACACGTGTTGAAATATATAGGGTTTAGACAAAGACCACTATTTTTTTACCGAGAGAAAATCCAATTCT